CTCTCATGTTCTCTCCTTGAAATTTCTTGCTGGAGGATGATAGCCAAAACAGAAGATTTTTGTTTGGGGGGGGGTGTTGGCAGTAGTAGTGATGACATGGTTACCATCAAAATTGGCAGCTGTGTGCATTGAATTCCACACTTACACACTGCAGCATTTAAGAGAACTTACCTGTGCCTTGAGCTCAGTGTACAACACCTCCATCCCTGTAGATACCCAAGCCACACTCAAGCCACAAGCCACAGCAGTGGCAGTCAGTGATGCAAGGACATGGTGAAAAAGGTACAATTTCCTGCAATTTCAGGATTCAGTACATTGTTCTAGGCAGAAGGAGAGAGGGAAACGATGGCACATAGTTGCCATTTTCTGCAAAAGCCACAGACTTAATGCAATATGTGGTCCCAGCCTAAGTCAGTGGTGCTAAGCTTAAGAATCCAAACGGATGTGTTGCAGGATATTTGTGATCAGATCTCTTAATTTCTTCTTTTACTGGGCTATAATCTCTGAGTATCATTTAGCTGGATATCACCCCGTGCAATTTCTGATACTGGAAAATGGGCTTCAATTCAGGATCAGCCCTGTTGCTTTATATCACTGGTGACAACTGTCACTCACCATGCAAAGAAGAACTATTGAAAGCAAGTAGCGGAAATTAAAGCATTATTATTCTTCCTTTCCCATCCTCTAATGCCACTATGCTCACACCTTCCTCATATTCCTGACATCTATAAAGAGCAGACTTAGGAATGTAGATCAAGCAAGCCGCATTTCAAAGAAACTCACATTCAGTTTTAGATTCCTTTTAAAACCCATTCTCTGGAGGCTAATGGAAGTAAATTCAGCAATGGCATTAATCAAACAGAGGGCATGTGTGCTAGGGGGAATGGGAAAAGGCTGATGAGAGAAATCAATTTCTGAACCTGAAATGACAACATAAATGTTCGTTTTCTTCGTTCAGCTTCTTTGATTAGGAGAAAATAGTTTGAAATGTCGGAAGAACGTTACAAACCCAATTCCACTAGTTTCAGAAGATCACAGTTAAAGTGACACAAAGCAAGCAAAGCACTTCTAATTGTGTCAGATTATAGCATCTGTAATGTTGAACATGACCTCATTTTGTCTTGAGTAAGTTTCTGATTCCATCTGGGAGGGTAGAAGAACACTTACGCTTAGATCAGAACTGAACGTTTGATTAAGGGGAAGGATGTGGGTTGAGGGGAATATATGGCAGATGCTATCACATGGTAAGCCACTTGTGTCATTCACCATGTGATTGGGCCAGTTTTATCCACACCAATACAAAACATTGGGATGGACCATAGCTTAGAGCAGCGGTTCTCAATCTGTGGGTCCCCAGATGTTGTTGGACTACAACTCCCATCATCCCTGAGCTCTGGCCTTGTTAGCTAGGGGTGATGGGAGTTGTAGTTCAACAACATCTGGGGACCCACAGGTTGAGAAAGGCTGGCTTAGAGGCAGAGCACTTGCTGTGCTCCAAGTCTGCAGTGCTGGAGAGCCACTGCCAGTCAGGCTAGGCGATACGGAGATAGAAGGATCCATAGTTTGACCTTGTGTAAGACAGCTTCCTAGGGACGCGGGTGGCACTGTGGGTTAAACCACAGAACCTAGGACTTGCCGATCAGAAGGTCGGCGGTTTGAATCCCTGCGACAGGGTGAGCTCCCGTTGCTCGGTCCCAGCTCCTGCCAACCTAACAGTTCAAAAGCACGTCAAAGTGCAAGTAGATAAATAGGTACCGCTCTGGCGGGAAGGTAAACAGTGTTTCCGTGTGGTGCTCTGGTTCGCCAGAAGCGGCTTAGTCATGCTGGCCACATGACCCGGAAACTGTACGCCAGCTCCCTCGGCCAATAAAGCGAGATGAGTGCCACAACCCCAGAGTCAGTCACTACTGGACTAATGGTCAGGTGTCCCTTTACCTTTACCTTTTAAGGCAGCTTCCTAAGTCCCTAAAATTTCTGTATGGCACAGAGAAAACAATTCTGAGTGAACCTACTGACGCAGAAGGAAGCCCCATGCCCACATGTAAACAGCTTCTATGTTGAGTGATTTACAGGGGCCTCAAGGCAGAAGCCGTACCATGTAACCAACCCTCAGTCTAGTAGCAGCAACCACAGGATAGGTGGATATTAACAGCCTGCCATGTATTGAGCAAGCTGCAATTTCATAGAACCATAGAATTGCAGACTTGGAAGGGACCACGGGGGTTATGTAGTCCAACCCCCTGTGATACAGGAATCTTTTGCCCAACAAAGCCACAACAACCCTGAGATTAAGAGTCCCATTCTCCATTGACTGAGCTATCTCCAGGTTTTTCCTCTGCCCCAATTCCCCATCTAAATAATTATCTGCCTCACGACGTTATCAGGAGACATGGAAGCACTTCATGCTCCCAAAGCAATGCTAAAGTGATATCCTCCATATACATTGGACCTCAGCTTCCACCATCCCTCACCATGGAATGTGCAAGCTGGGACGGAAGGGAGTTGTAATCCCAAACATTTGAAGGGCATCGTGTTGCAATCCCTGCTATAGAAATGAAAGTCGGAGCACCGAGTATGTCTCTTCAATAGCAGGCTGCATCATACCCAACCCCTGCGCTCCGGGTGCTTATGCTTTAGCTTTGATCTCAAACACATTCAGTCATCTCCCAAATAGTCAAATGTGTGGTACTCACTGTGCACCTCTGAAGTATTATGGTATTTCTTATAAGATTAAAGGTAAAGGACCCCTGATAGTTAAGTCCAGTCGCGAATGACTCTGGGGTTGCGGCGCTCATCTCGCTTTACTGGCCAAGGGAGCCTGCATTTGTCCGCAGACAGCTTCCGGGTCATGTGGCCAGCATGACTAAGCCGCTTCTGGTGAAACCAGAGCACCACACGGAAACACTGTTTACCTTCCCGCCAGAGCGGTACCTATTTATCTACTTGCACTTTGACATGCTTTCGAACTGCTAGGTGGGCACGAGCAGGGACCGAGCAACGGGAGCTCACCCCGTCGCGGGGATTCGAACCACCAACCTTCTGATCAGCAAGCCCTAGGCTCAGTATTTTAGACCACAGTGCCACCCGCGTCCCTCTTCATATAACATAGTTTATTTTAATCAGTTTTCAGGGTGCTCTTCAGATGTCCTGGTGGGGCATCTGAAGCAAATGGGACTTGAGAACCAATATCTGACAGTAGAATACTCTTGCACACAAACACACAGATTATCGTTAATGAATGGCAAATGTGTATAAACTACCATTTATTTATTTATGGCTGGCGCAATACAATTGGCCCAGTAACAACTTGGCCCTTCTTTGGCATTTAGAAACAAAGATTGCCATTCACAAATGATGATGCTTGCATGAATATTTTTTTAATTGTGGCTCCCTGCGTTTGAAGTGATCCTCAGCCGAGAAGCTTCCACGCTGGATTTTAAAACGTATTACCATTTCATGATGACAGGCTATTTGTGCCAAGCCGTATTTGCTCTTTTGTCTCGAATCTTCCTCCCTCATTATATTTCTTTATTCATTCTATGGAAAGGACACGACCAAGGGATTTGGCACAGTAATTTGATCCACTTCTCTGACTTGTTAGGAGAAACTTAATGGCACACACATTCATCCTGGCAGTGAAAAATGTTCTTCTAAGTCCCTGTTCAGAAGGGGAAGATCGACAGCTTCCTTTTGTGTGCAAACCTTTCTTCCTTATAGCTGCTGTCAGCACAAGCCAGGTGCTGACAGGCTTCCAGCCATAAATACCACAGCAAATATCAATTATTTTGACTAATTCTGAGAAGCCTTTGTTAATCCTTTCTGTCTTTTCAAACACCAGTGTGAACTGTCTCAGTTTTCTTTAAAGAAAAAAACAACAACGCAGCCCAGTTTGTGGGTTGGCTTATGACAATGGCACTTACATGGTAAATTATCTCCCAGCTCTTCATCCTCTTTGAGGACAGTGTGAAGAATGAGAAAGAGCATTGCCTTCCAAAGGTAATTTCAGTCCAGGAAAATGTTTCTGCTCTTTTTCATTGTTGGCATTATTCACCAGGTTTATGCCTCTTATGCTTAGCAGAGAGTAAAGCTTGGAGGGGTAAAGAAATTTCCTTTTCTCTTCTGCATGTACATTACCCAGAAGGAATCTTATTGAAATAAAATAGGGCCGTTGGAAAGATTCAATGGGATAATTAAGCAACAGATTCCAATCAATGGTGAACTAGCATTTAAGTTTGGGCTTCGATCCTATTTCAGATAGAAACACAAATTCTTTTTGCTAAGGCTCTGCTCTTGTATCTCTTAGCTTTAATCAGTCTGACCACTTCAGTACAGCGTATCTGCATTTTTGGACTTGCACATTGGGATGGAAATTTCAGATTTGGATTTGAGATCCTTGGGGATGGTATACAAGAGGGTTAAGCACATGCAAAAGCGCAACAGCATAGGAGAAACAGGAGTGAAAAAGAAAACAGACAAGCAACTTCTAGTTAATCTTACACTAATGCAATTCCTAAGTTAGTTTTAGCAACTGAGGTAGGCATTCAGTGTGTAGGCCTAAAGCCTGCGAAATTCTCTCCCAGCTGAGATTAGGTAAGCACTCTCCTTCAGGTGCATGACTAAGATTTTCTTGTTCCAGCAGGCATTTTAAGGTAGTCTTTGGTTGTACAATAGAAACTTATTGTTCTATTGTCCCATCTAAGAATTGCAGTGAGGGGATTTGTGTGACAGGTGCAACAGAGGTAAATGCAGGTGTCCCATGTGCCAGGAATATGATGCTACTTTAGTAGCCATGTTTTGAGTTATTGCTTGCACCTTGGTACCTAACTATAATCCATGTTTTAGGCATCCTAATATCTTCTCTTATATAATACTCCTTATATCCAATACCTTCATACCAGGGAAATGCATCTTCTTTCTTCTGAATCCCATTTTCTTCTATAAATGATATTGTTCATATTAGCACCTCAACTCTGCATGTGAAAAACAAATCAAACTACTACCTCCTCCTCCTCCTCCTCCTCTTCTTCTTCTTCTTCTTCTTCTTCTTCTTCTTCTTCTTCTTCCTTCTCCTCCTCCTCCTCCAAGCCATCACATTCAGAAAGACTGTAGAATGAGACTTCACCATGTAGAAGCATGAAAAGCACATGCACAAGTAATTTGTACATCTCTCCCCCCTCTTTCAATTTAACACCCAAAATTTCCTAATGGAAGAGATGTTGAGATATTGATACCAGTAATTTAGGCAACAAGGAACATCCTGAACTCCATTCTGATTAAAGCTAATTCAGATTTTGCAGCTAATTCATAATTTTCTTCTTTGAGGCATTTCAATTCTGCTTCCTGTTTTGGTGCTTCTTTCATTGCACAAACAACTCTCTGGAATGGGAAGCCTGTGGTCTTCCAGCCCGAGTCAACTTGGCCAACGGTCAGGGATGATGGGAATTGTTGATCAACAGCATCTAGAGGGGCAAAGGATGGTCCCACCCCTGCTCTTGAACCTCCCTTACCAAGGAGGACACAGTATTGTAGTGTCCGCAATAAGAAAAATAATTACACCAGTAAATTAATACTTAAGCTATCTTGTTCCCTTTGGATATCTATTATGATGCTTTAGCTGTGCAACCCTCTCCTTGGATACAGTGCTTCTACAGTTTTCCCCAAATACACAGAAAGCTCTTCAGACAGACAGTTGTATTTACAAACGTTACAGTGAGCATATGCACTAAGTCAGGCTATGGAATCTGTTGCCGCAATGTCATCACCAGCTACATTTTGTGTCTGGAGAAGTTGTGGAAAGGGTTTAAGTGTGCATTGCATGTGGCTGCAAATGATACATCTGACAGCATTTGCAAGGGAAGAGCGCCCATGGGAACCATGGAACTTCTGGTCTAGAAGAAAGAGGAATGTGCAGCAGTGGTACTCTTGCTGGTTAATTGGCTGTCAGATGTGGCTAGCTGACCAATGGCCATGAAACTTGAAGATCATTTCTCTGGGCCTTAGGATAAGTTGGGTTAAGGGGAACATTTAAGCAGATGCAGAAGACAGGATTGCCGCATCAAATGATATCTCTCCTGTTCCAGGCTGGAGAACACATGGCATGATGGCCAATGCGGCAAGGTGCAGACTGGGCAGCTAAGGTTCAGCACCATGGAAAGCTCCCTGTGGAGCAAGCTACAGAACTGGACCAGGCAAGTGGGGCCTGCATCACAATGTTATAGGGTGGACTGTCACTGCTCAAGGCTCCAGCAAGCCATACTTTCTTTTAATCTACTAAATTCCATTTCCCTTCCCATCTGGTTTCCTCTCCCGCTCCCAACAGTAAGCTAGCTTTTGTGGGCACTTAGCCTACTCATTTCCCATTAGCTGCATTTCTGAATTCTTGTGCTCTTGTGCATAGATGTTGCCATTTTGGCTGTGACTTCTGCAAGCATGGAGGATAAGGCTCTCAGTCGCTCCCAGCCATAATGGCTACTGTTGGAGAAAGTATGCCTCTCAATATATGTTGCTGGGAATCGCAAATGGGATGAGAATTCATGCCCTACTTGTGGGCCTGCCATGGGCATCTATTTGAACAGAATGCTGGACTAGAAGGGTCTTGTCATGTTCTTAGCATGGGAAGAAATAGAGGAGCAGTTGATGGTACCAGACCTGCTAAGAAGCAATGAGTGTTTCTCCAACATTGGTCTGTATCTGACTGATGCCTTAGGGTAAAGTCCTACCTCAGTGAAGGAAGCCTACTTTAGAATTGCTTTTATTTTGGCAATGTGTTCCCTTACACAGTTGGTGTGCTGGTCCTGCGGGCTAACTGAGAGGCGAGGTCCGAGTCCAGTCCGAGGTTGATGGTGCGGTATGGAGGCTGTCCATCAAAGCTGTAGCTGGGTCCAAGGCAGGGAGTCAGGTGGGGTCAGGAACTCTAGCAGAAGAGCAGGACAGGGTGCAGGCAGGAACAGGCTAGCAACAATGTTGCTCCCGCAACCTAGGACTGGGGCTGGCTGGCTTTTATCTGCCCCAAGGCATAGGGCAGCCCCGGTCCACAGGTGACTTGCCTCTCCTAGCCTGGAGGCGATCACTCCTTCTGCAGGAACTTAGTTCCCTCCGCCTCTCTGCCCTGAGCCTCTGCAGCTCAGGAGAGGCTGGAGGGTTACTGGACCCAGAGGCAACCTCAGCTTCCCCTGACGGGGCTGAGAGTGGAGCACCTGCAGGCAATGGGTCCTCCATCACCTCAGGGGCCAGAGCAGACTCAACTGGTGCCTGAACCCGAGGATCCAGCACAGGTCAGGCCCCTTCAGGCTCAAGCCCCAGCCCCGGCTCAGCTGGTTCTGGAGGCGGGGACTCCTGTGCAGGCTGGGATTCTTCAGGTTCAGCCTCTGAGTCCGAATCCCAGGCCATCACAGTTGGAATGCCTGCTGTAACCCTGGGCTTGGTAGATGGGAGGAAGAGGGCTCTCTCTAGCTGATGGTGTTCCTTCTCAGTTGAAGCATCTGCTGACCAAAAGTGGTCAGGTTCCTGGGCCATAGCAGTATCTAAAGCAAGGATGGGGAATCTATGGCTCTGCAGATGGTGTTGGACTATAACTCCCATCAACCCTGACCTTTGGCTATGCTGGCTGGGGCTGAAGGGAGTTGAAGTCATGCAATATTTGGAAACCCAGAGGTCTCCCATCCCTGGTCTAAAGGTAGGAAGTCAGCAGAAAAGAATGGCCAGGTGCAACACCAGAGCCAGCAGGAAGTGAATCTTTTGCAATTCCCCAACATCTCCCATGATGGCTGCATTAAAGATTTGCATTTCTGTGCTCTGATCCAGTGACATGCTCCTCACAGTAGTAATTACTGGCCTAAGTAATTATAAAGTATGCATTCTTTCTCTGTTTATCGTCAACACCACCAGTGATTTATCAGTAAATCATTGAAGCAGCAAGCAGACCTTTCTTATGCAAAATATTAAGTTTTAAAATGTAATGTTGCTTTATTAATGCACTTAAAAAAACAAAAATCAGCAGCTTGAAGTAAACAAGTCTATCCCACAAATGGAGCAACAAGGAAGTCAGCCAGTTTGCCAATGTTTCCCCTTGAAGCACTTCCATCACGGCGCAATGCATGCGCCATCTGAAGCCGCTCACATTTTTGCAAGCTAATGTGATTGAGTAGCGGTTAGAAGAACTCTCCCATAGAACAAACACTTGTCTTGTTTTAATTATACTGGCTGTTGTGCCAGCACTCGCCTTTTGTTTTTCTGAACAGTTGACTAAGAGGCTTTCGTGGGGAAAATATTGATCCTAACAATATGTGCTTCCAAAAATGAGCTAATGCAACTTGGTAGGCCTTGGCTGCCAACAGAAATCTGATGTAATATGTGGGTAAGAATTTGATTCTGTGTATATGTATATATATATATTTATATATTAAAGAACCTTTTAATGAGGGTGAAAGAGGAGAGTGCAAAATATGGTCTGAAGCTCAACATAAAAAAAACGAAGATCATGGCCACTAGTCCCATCACCTCCCGGCAAATTAGAAGGGGAAGAAATGGAGGCAGTGAGAGATTTTACTTTCTTTGACTCCATGATCAGTGCACATGCTGACAGCAGTCATGAAATTAAAAGACGCCTGCTTCTTGGGAGAAAAGCAATGACAAACCTAGACAGCATCTTAAAAAGCAGAGACATCAGCTTGCCGACAAAGGTCCGTATAGTTAAAGGTTTTCCCAGTAGTGATGCATGGAAGTGAGAGCTGGACCATAAAGAAAGCTGATTGCCGAAGAATTGAATTATGGTGTTGGAGGAGACTCTTGAGAGTCCCATGGACTGCAAGAAGATCAAACGTATCCATTCTTAAGGAAATGCTCACTTGGAAGGACAGATCCTGAAGCTGAGGCTCCAATACTTTGGCCACCTCATGAGAAGAGAAGACTCCCTGGAAAAGACCCTGATGTTGGGAAAGATGGAGGCCACAAGGAGAAGGGGACGACAGAGGACGAGATGGTTGGACAGTGTTCTCGAAGCTACCAGCATGAGTTTGACCAAGCTGCGGGAGGCAGTGGAAGACAGGAGTGCCTGGTGTGCTCTGGTCCATGGGGTCACGAAGAGTTGGACACAACTAAACAACTACACCACAACAAACATTTCTATATCAGCCCTTTTAATATTTAGTTCATAAACAGCACACAAAGGCAGAACCACCTATTGGTTTGTGTCGGTATGTACAAAGGATTTGAAACAATGGGGAAGGGAAGAGACAGTGGCAGTGCACCTGCTCTGCATGCCCCCATGAATGTCCCAAGCCCCATCTCCAGCATTTCCAGGTACAGCTAGGAATGTCTCTTGTCTGAGACCCTAGAGACCCACTGCCAGCCAGAATACTGAGCTAGAATAGATGAGCTAGTTGGTCTGACTTGGTATAACACAGCTTTCAATGGTTAATGCTGGGAAGTGAAAGACAAGGAAAAGTTCTACAGAGGAAGGAGGACAGAGAGATGAAGGAATGCCCAGTTTTGGAGGTACCAATTTGCAAGCCATGGTTTTCAGGGAGCCAGTCTTCTGCGTCTTCTGAGTCCATGTTCCAACAGAAGCTTGTCTTCAGTTGTAAATGGGAGTGTCAACGCACTTATCTGAAATCAGAAGACTCCTTCTCAGTTTAATTTCAAAGCTGGGGGGAAAAAAGATTAATGGGAAATGTCACTGTGATGCATAACATGCTATGAATCCAATAATTTCATTTTAATCAGTTACACATTATTGGTAACAGTGAATCATAATTTCCCTCCTTGTTCAAGGGCATCATGACCTTACGTCGTTGCATCTTTTTTTAGCCATTTGCTTCCATAATGTTCCTCTCGGTTTAACGATAGTAATTTTAGTTCTCTAAACAGACAATCTTCTGAAACCAAAAGCAAATGAAATAAAATAAAATAAATCCAGGGAGATTCACACCAGCCAGTCAGAAGACTTGTGTGATTCCCAACGAAAGCACACAAGAATGTCGTTTGCCAAAGGTAGGCTCTCCTGCATTATACTCACAATATTTCAAAGAAAGCAATTTTATTTTTGACAGTTTAATATGAAGATTTAATTTGTTCTGGATATTTTTTTAAAAACACACACACATGCCACATCACAAAATTGATGAATAATATTTGCAAACAGGAAGTTGGCACGACGCGATTAATTTTGCACAACACCGTATTTGTTAATAGAAGATTAAAA